TGTGTGTGTGTGTGTGTGTGCAGAGTTGCAGTTTCGCTGGGAAAGTTTACTTACTGTGTTTGAGGCATATCTTGCAGGAACAGCAGAGGAGTTGTGTTGCTATGGATCAGCACACATGTAGGTGTGTTTGCGTGCATTTGTATAAGTGTGCACGGCTGCATGTGTGGTGTGCCTGAATGTTTAAAAATATCCATATGTGTGCACATCACAGCATCCTAGAAGAATAAACCATGATGTCTGCCACCAGTTAATAGACAACTTTATAGATTTGTTAGATTTGGAGGGTTGAATTTTTTTTTAAACAATGTTAAATCCCATGAACATCTTTTAAACGTTTATTCCAGGAACCAAATGGGCATCATCAGAATAAATATTACATATGAAAACTTTACCTCAGTGGATGAACATCTGTCAGTGAACCTTGAAACAATGGTCAAAGTCTATCCATCTCTGGTGAGCATGTGTCACTAGACCCGAACTGAACTTGACAGTTTGTTTAAACATGCTTTAACAATTCTGTGGTTCATCACTTAGACTGTATTGAAAAGATGGACATAGTGATGTCACCCACAAATTTGGGGACTCCATTTTTAAGCTTCAAGATGAGCCTCATTGTCACTGTAATCTGTTTTTAAACTACATGTTATGAGCAGATGGTGGAACTAACTGAAAAAAATTAGGAATACTGTACACCTTAGCAATCACAAAATAGCCACGCCCTAAATCTTACACTACGTGTTGTGTATTTTGCCATACATTTGATGATAACTGACTAAGTTAACTTGCTCCACTGAGTATTTAGGAATAGCTGTTGACACCACTAAGGAATGGCTGACCTCATTAAGGAAATGTTTGTTTTTGTAAACAGGACTTGTCCTCTTCTGGCTATTAGAATGACTCCAGGTTTAACTGGTACTGGAGAAGCACATCCTCCTTTTATAGACACGCTTTATGACTTATCAGGGATATGTAAACTGATCAACCATAAATCCACTGACATGTGATATTGATATGGAGTTTGGTTATTATATTGACGCCTGTTCAGGGGTGTGATGTGCCAGGAAGAAAGTGAGCAGTTGGTTTTTGAATTTATCAAGTGTAAAGATCTGAGAGACTACAGAGAAATCCTCCTCACAGTTCACCTCCTGTTTCCTTATGCCTATTGGATCCAGGTTAATTAGATGTATGCTAAAATAAACGATAACTTCAGTAGATTTTTCATATTAGATGTGTAAGACTAGAGCATCTCCAAAACAGCTCATACGGTGGGGTGTTGCCGACGTGTGGTGATTAGCAGCTACCAAAACTTGTCCAATGAAGTACAGCTAGTGAGTCAGGAGCTGGGTCTGTTGACCAATGGAAATTAAGGCTTGATCTCATGGCAGACCTACTGTAACACCGACTGCTTAAAGTTTAGGCTAATAGCAGACACCCGCAATTTTTAGCATCAACATGTAATCATTTGCCCACATTAATATTATGTATGTGGTTTCCTTCAAGTGGTTAAAAATTGCTTAACCCAAACACATCATTGATTTCAGTGTCGTAACGCTCTAGCCTGCTGTTATTGGTTAGTTAGTAAATCTGTATTCAGTTCAGATTGTTGCTTATTGACAAGGCAGGTGCATTTATGGTAAAAGTAAGCTACAGGAAGTGGCCAATGGAAAATGACTGAAGTTCAGTCTTTCGGAGAATAGAGGCACACCCATTAGCAGTTGTGTATCTACTACAGTTTCTGTGCTATATTACATATGAGCACCATGCTAACAGCTAGCAAGACCACGAGAGTTATAAAGCAGGGTCTTATTACAATGTTATGAACAGCTGAACTTCTGAAATAATAAAAAATAAATATATTTTTTCATTTACACATTTTTTCTTTTTTTAGTAGTGTTTCCTTTGGTGTGTGGCCATTCTGTTTTCACCTTTCACTCTGTATCCGTGTGTGTGTTCTCTTGGTGTTAAACAGAGCTGTGATTGGGACTTACTGTACATCACACATGACCTCATTAGCACCAGCAGTTTATTTTTAGCTCCTCCTCTATTCATCAACCAAATGGCCAGAGGCAACCGTATAGTGACATACGTTGTTTGAATTATGAACTAGTTTTAGTGGCATGCCAGGATTACCACAGCATATGGAAAAAAGACATGAAACCACATGATGTTACATCTACTTTCGAACCCTATTTCTGCATGTTGTCACATGAAAGCATGCATTTTTTCATTATTCAGTTCCCTAAATGTCAAGAGCCCTTCACTGAACATAATGTTACAACGTATGTTTGGATGTAATGCAGCAATGTGGCACACTGGTGCTACCGTCATGTGATGTAAAATGTGTTTTATGTCATTTTATCCCTGAAATAATCTATTTATTAATCCTGTTTTTTCCCCTTCCTGGTCTCAGACCAATGAGCTCGAGGACCTGTTGGATAACCTGCAAAGTGGTGGCCAGGAGCAGCAGCCGCTGTTCCCCAGTCAACCACCGACCAGGGGTGCTGATCCCTCGTCATCCTCCTCCTCTTCTGTGCCACCTGCCTCCTCTGTCGACAAACAGACCATCATCTCTGACATTCTGCAGATGAAAGACAGCGGCAGCCCGCCCACCCAGCACAGACCCTTCCCTCCCATCGGCCCCGCAAGTACGTCTGCAACACAGTGTTTGTGTTTGGCTGAATTGCACCATTCCAACATCTTGAACTTGCTAAATATTGAGAAAATCTTCAGATTGTCTCTAAATATGTACAGTACTGTATGGGGAATAAAAAATACTGTTTTTCCTCCTAGCAGGCTTTAATGGTCCCAGGCCCAGTCATCCGGTTCAAGGTGGTCCTCCAATAAGGAGCATGTCTCTTGACAGCAGCATGGGCCCCTCCCCTCACACCAACAGGCCTTTCCCTCCTCAGCACAGGAACAGTAGCCCATACCACTTAATGCAACAGCAGCAGCAACAAGGCATGATGGGACCCCACGCGGGCATGGCTAACCAAGCTGCAATGACTAACACAGGTGAGGCAGAACAAGATATAACTTTGAGGTGTATTTCTGGCTATATAGCAAATATGTATGTCAAATACATATATACACATATATACAAATACATATATAATACTAAATAACCTTTGAATGAATCTTTTCCCCATAACAGGAATGCGTGGCTCCATGCAGCAAGGTTGGAGTCCCCAGAGGCCCATGGGGGGCTCTGCAGGCCCAGTAATGGGCCAGGGAGTTGGACCTGGTCGTATGGTTCCCAACATGAATGCTGCACTCCCTGCAAGAGGCAGTGTTCCATCTGGATCCAGAGCCATGGTTAATATGCAGATGATGAGCAACGGTAAGAGAAAATGGGCAAATAACAGAAACTCTTCTCTCCTTGAATTCTACGCTGTTTCTGATATTCTGTGTATTTTTCCCCTGCAGAGATGGACATGGCTACGCCTCCTTACCCTCAGCAGCAGGCTCCACCTAATCAGACTGCTCCTTGGCCAGACCGAATGATGATGGATCATTATGGAAATCCAAGCAGGTATGGCATAAGAGAAGAGTCTTCATAAGCAGAAAATGAAGCACTGAATCTAGTGTGATAATAATGCCAACTTACCTTCCAGGCCACCATACAGTGTCCCCCAGGAGGATGGCATGGGGTGTTGCGGCACAGGGTCTGAGGGCCAGCCAGATGAAGGCGCTCTGCTGAACCAGTTGTGTTCGGTGCTAAAGGACTACGAGGGTCTAGAGGAGATTGACAAAATGCTGGGAATCCCCACATTGGCAGGACAGGTGAGCTCCTTTAAGCCACTCTATGCTAAACATATAACCTGTTTTGGAGTTTTGGTAAATAACACGTGAAGCACTTTTTACCACTCTATAGGGTCATCTGCCAGACCAGGACCAGTACCTGGGCTCCTCGGACCCAGCAGCTGGCATGAAGCCTCCTCTCTACAGTCAACACTATGCAGGTCAGGCAAGTTATGGTGGCATGCCTCCTGATGGTGGTTATCACGGCCAATCTATGGGAAGCCACATGGGCGCTCAGAGAATGCCGCACACATGTTATCCCCCAATGATGAGAATGCCTGGAGGTGCAGGGCCGAGGCAGGCTGGCATACGACCAGGGGGGCCTAATCCTATGATGCCCCCACAGCCCAATAACCTGAGGCTTCAGCTGCAGCACAGACTCCAGGCTCAGCTGGTAGGTGGCGCCAAATGTTTGAATTTCACTCTTTTATTTTTTCCAGATTTCCAGACGTTTTACTGTACACAATATAACATTGATGTTGCAATACTGTATTACAGTGTTGGTTGTGCTCAATGCTTGATGACAGAGCAGTTACAGGTTGTGTAGGCGTTACTTGTAGCTAGTAGTGCTTAACAAAAAGCTGAACATGGCATTAGTTTTGGCAGGTGGGCAGAGTGGAGCTGGCAGTGCTGATCCTTTCTTAGAAAGCACATCCTTCTTAGGGTGTCCTTTCTAAGCTGTGTCATCCTGCATACAGTTTCTTCTGCCTCTGCAAACCACTTTGCAACCCAGCTTCATCCTTTTCATGCTATTTCGATATTATGCCTGTTCTCACTGGTGCTTGCTCAGTTCTGAGGAGGGGCGTATTGCTGCTGTTCTTGCCTTAGTCTTGCAATCCCATGTCAAAAGGCAGGGAGGTCCCAGAACAGAGCCATACTACTAAAGATAAAGTACTGCAGATTAAATATCAATCCAGTTTTTCTGACAGAAATGGATATAAGGACAATTATAATTAGTTACTCAGCATGAAAATTAGATTAAATTCAAAGATGTGACCTGGCTAATGTAACAAGTTCCTCCATTTGGTTCTTTTTTCTTTCTGATTCTCTTTGTTGCTTAAAAAAGCCAGCACTTATTGCTGCATGCAACTGGTGGTTGGAGCAAATAAAAATTCCAAGTAAAGTTTGTTTTGTAAAGCAACGCTTTTATGGAAATTCAGTACAGTGAGGGAGCAAAAGGTTACCGTTGTTGTTGTTGTTGACTCCAGCAGTCACCGGGTTTAAAAGGCCATCAGTTGCTTTGCAGACAGTCAGTTACATATATTTATAGTCATGTCTATCCCTTAATGTCACCTAAGTACGATCACAGAAACAAATCTTTTCCTTTCTGTAACTACAAACTATTTCATATGATTCAGTCATGAATCCTGGCAAATGATGTTTCATCCAAGCATGAAACCTCATTACCATTTTGAAAAAGAAAAATCTGATTACAAAAGATGCCTCTGAGCCAACAGGGTTCACTGAGTTTGAACTGCGGCAAAAGCACAAATGTTTTCCAGCTTTCTGGCTTAATCAGCATTTTTTTGTTGCTTAGACAGTTGACAGCTGAAACGGCAAAATATGCACAGACAAATTCATACACATACCTTATACTATTAGCTGGTAACACCTTAGGATTTCTCTTTGAAAAGCCGTTGTTGTCTAATTTCTCTATGTGAAACACTTTTATTTTCTTTAGTGTGTTTGTATTACTACATAAATGTTGTGCTTATCTAGATTTTCAGTTTTTGTTTTGTCTTAAAATTTGTCTACGCCAACAAAGACACAGTTGGTGTTTTGGTTCAGGCTGCCACCTGGTGGAGAGTCAAGGCAAAACGCTTTGTCCCTTAAACGTCACTAAAATTAGCAGCAATTAGCAGTTTGTTCAGATGTGTGGCACGACTTTTACACTTCCAGCTTTACATTTATTGTGCCAGCAGAGAAACAGTAAAGTTTATTTATAGAAGAAAACTTTTTTTCAAAACCCATCTGAATCAAAAATGTGATTTTAATTCTTTTTTTTTTCTTTAAATGGTTGCAGGTGAATGCAAAACTCTTACAAACACCCAGATCAGTGCTTCAGTACTTGTGCACATCAATGAATCATATGCATTGAATGTATTTTAAGGCATTTATTAAGGGCAAAATTGCAATATCATATTTTTTTTAATTCCGGGCTGCTCTGCCTTCTCTCTAGAACCGACAGCCAATGGTGAACCAGATGGGTGGAGTCTCCAACATGAATCTACCTCTACGGTCTAATGTACCAAACCAGGTCGGTTTGTCTGCATGAACACTTTATTCTCTTGTAAACACATGCTAAATATTAACAGCACAAATCATTTCCCCTTTTTGCTCCTTGTCCTTATGCCTAAATGTGCATCTCCTCCTGCAGGGAACCCTCAACTCTGAGATGATGGCCCAGCGGCAGCGCGAGTACCTCACCAACCACCTACGTCAACGCCAACAACAGCAGCAGCAGCACATGCAGCAGCAGCGTGCCATGATGATGCGCACTCAGGGCATCAACATGCCACCCAATATGCCCACTGGGGGCGCTGCTCCTACGCCAATGCCCATGGGCGGGACCAACCCACGGCTCCCGCAGGGCAACCCGCAGCAGTTCCCCTACTCGGCCTCCAGCTACGGTACAGGCCTGCCCTCTCCTCCTCATCCAAGCTCCTCCAGCCCCTTCTCCTCCCCTCACTCCCCCAGCCATCATCTGGCTAGTCAGGGCATGATGGGAAATGTGGGAGGGCAATACAGAGGTGTAATGAGTCCGCCATCACACCACAGTCCCTTCCACTTCAGCAGTGCAGGTATATGATGAGAGCACAGCAGCAGCATCTCAGTGGTCTGTGTGTGCTTCATGGAAGATGTGCAGTAGTTTTTTTACTTTTTTTTGTGGTGGCGGTCTTTTTTTTTTTTTTTTCATGACTGGGTGTTGGTGAAGGCTGCATGATTAGTTTTTTCCTTCTGCTGTCTTTTTTTTCTGTGCTAATCAACACAGAAGCAAAATTATTTTCTTATTATTACTTAAAAGAACAAGGAAGTCGATTTTTTTTCTGTGATTGTTTTATTGTAACTGTCGTAAACCAATCACAAGGGGTGGGGTGGTTTGTAAAAGTTCTGTCAGTGCTGTCAGAACTGAAGTAAATGCATTTCATTTAACAAAAACGATCTTCTGAAGTGAGGACAATACGACATTCTGAGTATTTTGTGTGAATTTAATTTATTAACAATCCAGCTGTTGGTGAGTTTGGGCCTTTTTTCTTTCCATTTCTGGTTGGTCTTTCAGTTATAGGGCTCTCTCATTGGTGAATCAAAGATTTTGATGATTTTTCAGATACTGTAAAAAACTTTTCTCTGAGTCTCAGAGGAAAGGTCATTCTCATTTGTCTCAAATTCACTTTATTGTTTTGGTAAGATCTTCATATAATGTTGGGGTCTAACTAGTCCAGATTACCACCATCTGAAAATTATTATAAAGTCTTAGTTTTTACTTGTGTTATTGTAACTGTCTATGACACTCTGACGTGCAGGAATGAGCCAGCAGCAGCAGCAGCAGCAGCAACACCAGGATCCAGTGTCCTGTTTTCCATGCGGGGCCACCACGCCGCAGAGCTCCTTGCTGTCCCCCAGAATGGGGCAGGGTCAGAGCCCTATGTTGCAGCAAAACCAAGGTCCACCCCAAACCCAACACCAGGGTCCGAACCAGGGAGGACCTCCCAGCTACCAGCCTAGTGCCGACCTCAACGGATGGCCTCAGCCTGCCAACATCACCAGCAGCAACAGGTATTGTGTGCAAATGCTTTTGAAATGTTGTGTTTATTTACAGCTGAGTATTTCTATTATTGGCTTCTACAAGAGTAGATTTGCATATTCACAGTAGTAATCCTTATTTGGGGGCTTGTTTTGGCCTTCTGTTGTCCAAAACTAGCTGTATTAGCGCCTTTGTAATGTTAGTTCAGCTTACTTCTGATTGGCTGTCCTGAGGAAACCAAAGGCTTGAACAGCTGATGAGATGGTTTCTGTCCTCAAAGTCAGAGCTGTGTGTTCCTAAATATTATTATAATTGTTATTGTTTCCAAATTAGGGATATCCACACTAATTGCTGACATATAGAACAAAGAGTAGCTATTTTAAAGATGCACACATGGCAGAGAATAAGGAAAAGCATAATAGGTCTCAGTCATTTTAGTTTATTTTTCATTTTTTTTTAGAATTCTTTTTATCCTTTTTGACTCAGCTTGTCTTCTTTCAGCGTCTACCCCCAACAGTCTCAGTCTCACTACTCCACACAACCCGGTGGAGGAATGTACAGTGGCAACAACAACATGAACCTTGCCATGGGCAATAATAGCATGAACCCAATGTCTGGACAGATGAGCTCCATGGCCTCTATGAATACAGAACAGGTGCTTCATACAAGCTTACATTGTCACGCCTAATTCTTTTTATGTTGTTTTTTCGCACATGCAGAAGCTGTAATTGTGGTTGTTCGCTATGAATTTGCAGGGCAATGAAAGCAGCCTTATCCTGGAACAGATAACAGGGATTGACATGCTGACTCAAGAGGGTGAATCCAATTCTGTAAGTAATGCACTTCTTCAAAACATCTTCGTATCCTATTTGCACGAATGTTTCTGTAATACTAGCACAGGCACAGTGTTGTAAAACGTAACAAAACATAGGGTGTAATAGACAGTAATTGCTGCAGGTTGCTGGGAAATGTATGCTACAGGTGGAAATGCTCTGTGATGTGGCTGTACACTGTTGCTTAAAAGTGCACCCATCACTACACTATAAAAATAATGGTTTAACTCTAGGCTCAGATTTTGCCATCCTTAGCTTGGTATTGCCCCGCTTTCAGTCTTTAGATTTAAATTCATTAATTTGTGTTTAAAATGTGCACTGGAAGCCTTTAATGGCTGAAAATGAGATCATTGTGGGCTTAACAGATAAGGTGTGGGTGAAAAATCTGTTTTTGTTTTGTTTTTGGTTACATGATTAGTTTTGATTCTGTGGAGTATAAGTCTGTAATAACATAAAGACTTAAATTGAAATGCATCTGAAGTTCTTCCCCCAGAACAAGTAGAGATCTTAAAATGTTGAAAGCATTCAAATGATTAGATCGTCCTTGTTTATTAAACTGATACATCATTTGTTACCCTTTTATTGATCTTTTGTACTTGGAAACCACTTATGAGTGAGGAAACTCAGTTCAGTTCTTTGTTATCAGAGTGACTGTAATTTAAATTACCTTGATGATTTTCTGTCTTCTACAGAATTTTTGCTGACCCCAGGCTGCAGTTGAGACGAGCAGTGAGGGAATCCATGCAAAAACACTGACACCCATTCAGCTCAGCTCACAGAGACGTATGAAGGACTTGATGAGAACACTGCCCCTCTGTCACACCAGGCAACTCAGAGGCTCTATAGCATGAGGACAACCGAGACATGTGCAAACTTCAGGACTACATTCACAGTGGGTTTAGTCATTGCTTAACATTTTATGCAAGCAAAAGTCTGACATTACAGGGAAACTGCCATCTGAACCATCCTGACAGCAAATGCCCAACGTGAGGATAATCCTGAAAACCCCCAGCTATTTGTGGTTTTTAGGTTTTCAATGTAACTTATTCTTTGATTGATATCAGCTAATCAACATGTGGTATGTATCTGTAAGCTGTAGTCAAATCAAACACTGTATTTACAGTAATCAAACACTCAAGAGGACTTTTAAAACAGAATTTTTCTAAAAAAAATAGTTAATAAAAGTACTGAAAGGTGTTCTGTGTAGCATTTTTTAAAAAGTTTTCAAGCTTTGTTTTTCTTATAGTTTAAAAAGAAGTTTGGATAAGGAGGTTATATCTAGAAATGAGAAAATGTGGGTGTGTGTGCGTTTTTGGGGGGATGCAAATTTACAAGGAGGGAAAGAAAAGCAACCTTTACATCTTAAAATTGATTTCAATACCTATGATATTCAGTTTTCCTGAAATATCCCCGGATTTCCTCTACAATTAAAGCGGATGTTGTGAGGGTTTCAACAGTAATAGTATGTAATCAGACACCGGTAGCACATTCAGGGTTCATTAGGAGATATTATTTGAATTGCCATCAAGAAACGAGGTAAACTTCTCCACCTCTAGCATTTTGCAGCATGCTTTGTTGAGCTGGAGTTGAATAGAGCAAGCAACAAACTTATTCCTTGCACATTTTGACACTTTAGTTAAAAAAAAAAAAGCAAATTCATGCTGTAATTTTCACTTTTTATTATACTTCCTTAAATTTTGGGCAAGTACTAAACATGTCCAAAAAGAGAAGAAGCTTGTCTATAATGAAAATGCTACATAGAGCACCATTTAAAAATAGGTAATTTGCAACTTGCTGAATTAAAATTTGTGTGGAGGTTATTGGTCCCAAGTTGCCCAAGTTAACATAGTCACACACACAGTGTTTGCTGTTTGAATGTCCTCTGGTCAGATCAGTGTATTACCAGAGTTTTTTCTGAGTCTCTGAGGTAACTATGATGGATTAAGTTTCTTGTGTGTGCGTGTGTGAAACTAAAACATAAGTGGCAGGATGATGAGTATAAATGAAGCCTCTGGATTATATCTTTTATGGTTCGGTTTTGGAGCCTAAGTGAAAATGACAATGAGAAGGTTTATGAAAGATATTTTATGGTTATTTATAGTTTTAAAGAAGATTTAGAGATTCTTTCTATGACGAAAAACAAAAGAAAACAATCAAGAATATCAAGAATAAAAAAATTCTCTCAAATGGTACATGTTGATGTCGATTTAAAATTAATATATTTCAACTGCTGTAGTTACAGGGGACCTGTCTCCCCATTTAATGACTTTTTGAATGAAAGTGAATGTGTATAGATCGTGTACATAGATTTTTAATATCCTTTTTTGCCCCAAGTGGTATTGTAAAGCAGCAGCTCGGAGTTTAGTTCAACAAAAAATGAGAGCAGAAATATTTTGTTGGTTAAATGAGCATCAGTAGATGAAGCTAAAGAAGCACTTAAAGTGAAAGTTTGTTCACTTTTCTGCCCTGTTTGCAGGCTAGCCCTTTAGCTTTCCCAGCTACAAAATCACAAGCTATTGCTAGAATCCTGAAGCTATTTTGACAAACTAGCTAACCTATTTAGCTTTCCACTTAAGTAGCAATAATAATAATTTCTTTTTCTAGCTTTAAGATCTTAGTTTTCAGTATTTTTGTTTTTCTGGACTAACAAGGGTTTTGGTACAAAAAAAAACAATTGGCCACTATTAGCGTTATAACATCTTAAATTAGAATGGTATCACGTGGCTAAATGTTAGCGTTAGCATTGAAAATAACGCTATTGTTATTTTGAGCACATTACTTTTTTCAGACCATTCTTGTCAGAAATACTTTTCCCCACTGAGATTTAACCAGTGAGCTTATTTCTGCCTCTAATGCAGCTTTGCCTCTAAATGAAAAGAAAAATGTGTAAAAGTAGAAAAAGAAAAAATCTCGATGCTACTGCAGCTCATTCTGAAATGACCCTTCAAGGTCGTGACCTTGTAGCCTGCCAGAATGTGTCTTGCACTGCAGGTGTGTAGTTGAATCTTGGGTTGTGCTGAAGGGCAAATTTAACTGTTTTTTGTGTTGAGTTTCTGTGGTTAAAGCTGTCATCTTTAAGTCTCCATACTGTATGTACTGGTAAACAATGCAGACATTTTTTGCGCCAAGGATAAATCCTTACGTAAATGAAGAACTAGAGCTAAATTACTTTGTCTGTTTCGCAAAGTTATAATGTTTTCAATCTAAATTTCTATAGACTGGACTTTTATTTTCCACTTTGATTCAATCACTTTGCAAGGTACTGTTCATTTAGGTGCTGTTTTGTGCGTGTGAGCTTGTAATTGTGAACAAAACTGACTTTAACTGGCAACATGTGTTTCTAGACTTCTTGGTCTGTTTGATGTGATCTGATACTCTAACAACGACAATATGATTGAGAGGGTGCGAAAATACACACTGTAACACTGAAATGAATTTCACTGTAGCGCTTCTCACTTTGTTTCCACATCATAACATTTTAGCCCCCAAAAATGTTGGTGAACTGATGATGAACTGTAAGCCATGAGTATTCGAATGTCACACATTGAGGGATGAATGACCACCTACAGTAACTGCTAATGTTTGATTTCCTCGTGTGACGTGAGCCTGCACAGGTGGTCACTCAGAACAAAATGGTTATTTATGGTTGCACTGTACTGGTATTTAACCTGACTAACATTGTTTTTGGTTTTAATGGGTATTAAGTGTTTTTTTTACATTTTTAGCACGCCCAGTTAAGCACATTGAGCTACTGTGGCCCAAGAATTACTGAAGTAATTCTAATGCAGGGCCATGTTTCTATTCAAGAAAGGCATCATTTCTGCCTTTCATAGCTGACATAGTTCAATATTTGCCAATATTAAAAAAGCAAAACAAAAACCTACTTGTGGAACTGGATATTATTTCGAATGATTTGTCGGAAGTGTTAAGTTTCCATATGAGTATCTGTTCACACCGATCTTACTTTTCAGCAACTTTATCTTTAACTTCCCCCCCAAAAAGAAAAATCTCTCGTTGTTTTGAAATTGTCTCAGCACAAACAGTAGTGTGAGAACGATTTAGTCTGAAATTGGGCAAATTTTAACTTCTGCTTTATAAGATCTGACACTTTTCAGTTCTCTGTGCTTGAGAAATAATTGGGGTGGAGGCTCAGTGTGAAGAGTTCCCATCTTGGGGGTTTTACATAGCACCACCTGTGTTTCAGCTTTACGCACAAAATGTACAATTTTACAAAATGCATGTTTGTCAGCCTGCAGATCGGGGTTTGTGTCAGGACTTGTTTTCACCTGCTGTTTGTTTTGTATTTAAAATTTGGCTTTCATTCACTGGTTTAGACATAGCCACTAAAGACTGCTCGATAGGATTTAGCCACTAAAAACTATTTAGTTATGTTTGGTTATTTTTTCAGTTAGCTTTAGAAAAAAGATTGTGGTTTCTGTTAAAGCGCACCCTTCACATGTTGGAAGTGACTGGTCAGTGGCCCTGATGACATAAAGCCATGCATCAGACACCAAAGGACACCTTACCTGTAAATAAGAGACACCAGCATAATTTAAACCCTGGGAATCAGAACAGGAATCGATAACCTCTGTAATAGAACAGTCATATACCAGATGACATACATCAGACATATGAATTTCCCTTTTGGATAAACTTATTCTTATATATGAGGGTAATATATGAAATCTAAGACCCTTTTTTTTTTTTTACCATTTAACTAAATTGAGTTTTTTTTGTTCATTTAAGATATTTTAATATTTGATGTGATTTTACCTTCTTTGTAATTATGGCCATTATATTTTTTTCTTTCTTTTTATTTTGATTCAAAAGGTTGAGACAGGATCAACTGGTCTGTTATGGATGTATTTTGTGATTCTACCAGAAGGTGGCGCCAAAGTCACGTGTTTTAAATGTACTTACGCGACCGTGGTCATGCAAGAAACGTCTTACTTCTTGTGGGTTTTAAGTTTTGGGGATGTTTAAAAGAACCAGTGGAATAGTAATCTCTGTCACTGGTAAAATAACCCCTGAGTAAAGCTTCTGGGTCAACCCTAACACATTTTTTCCTCCCCTTTCTTCTCTAATGTCAGTAAATCGACTCATTTCCCCTCTAAGAGTCATTTAAGGAAGTTACTTGCTCTGATTTTCTTGGGTTCCTTCTTTCCACTTATGAAATGTGTCTGACATCTTGATAACCACGCAGTGGTAAATTAGAGCAAAACAGAAGGAGAATGCATGTGTCGAAGAATATTTTTCTCATCGCTATTTGAAGTATCCTCTCTACTGTGATTAAACATCTCAGCTGTGACACAGTCCAGTGCATACAGTTCATTAATTATTTTCTTATGTAGAAGTCCGGACGTTCACACATTTTTATGCAAGCTGTCGACTCTAATGTTGCTTTTGCCAATGCTGCTTGTTAATTTATGATTCATGCCACTGTAAATAAATTATTTTTACTGAACTGAGCTGTGTCTTTGTTTTAATTTCATCCATAAAGGAGGAAGTACATGTGAATCTCTTAGATAAAAAGTGACTTGTGCGGTCCCAGGGAATCCCAGTCTTTATATACTTTATATTTAACCTTAACACCACAACAAAATGTTAATAAATGTAAGTTATGTGGGATAAATGTGCTCTAAAATGTGGGTGGTGCGTAGCCTCCGCATTATTGATGGATACCCCAAGTGCCTTGAAATAGAGCTGACTTATGATCCCTTTCCATGGCCCAAAGACCTTTTTCCTCACCTGTTAATATCCTGGGAAAATTCCCCTTCCCCCGAGCCCCGCACACCCCACTAATCAATGATCAGACACTGTTAAAATTCCACAGACATTTACTTTTAAAGTGTCAGTTTCTAGTGTCAGTTTGTTTATTCTCGTATATCTGACATGCTGAGGGTAACGCAAGAAATACTTTGGCCGTGCAACTGTGTGACACATCCGGGAATCATGTGGCGTCCAGAGTGGTTCCCTATTTAAGTTCGGACAAGTGAGGAACAGCAAAAATGTCACAACGGCACACAGACCCTGCCTTCGTGAGGCTCTTTTGTTTTCTGCACAGGGAAACTTGGAACTGGTCCAGAGACCAGTGCACTCTGTATGGCCCCTCAAATCTAATCAGGCAGCAGCAGGCACTGTCTTCTGTCCACCAGTATAGATATGAAAACTGCTCCAGCATACCTTTAGATAAATGTTTTTGTCATGAATCTAATATTATGAAATGTGGCTGGCAACAAGTGTGAGAAGTCACGTGGGGCTTGAGTAGATAATGCCTATAGCATGCAGAGGATTACTCAAGGTCATGGGATTCGTGAAAGGTCACCAATTCTATCTGCAGCGTTTTTATGATTGGATTAGAAATATTTTTGTTATTTCCAAATGTCTGAAATTCAAAATGATGATGTAGGAAATGATCCTTAAAAAACACGGCTCCTATAGGATGACATGAGAATATTAAGCAACGACTGAGGATTTGTATCTGTTTATTCTCTGGTGCTGCCGTTAGATATTTTCTCTTCTAATAATCTAATCTGCTGGTGTTACGTTATGTAAGATGTCCACGCTTTTGTAATACTCCACGGTTTTAGTGTTTGGATTACAAAGGAATTTATGAATTATTGCTCAAAGTCTATTATTTCCTGAATGAAGGCGCATATTCCTGGCTATAATTGGTTGGAATGTTCCATGGGACGTGATCTGGGTTCCTATTGGTGGACCAAGCTGTCAGTCAGGCAGACTGGCTTTGGCTTTGGTTTCTAAGAGCGGCTCGCGAGCGCCAAAGAAGGGAGGAAAAACGCGAAGATGCATCACTCTGCTGTTTCTCCCAGACAGTAAAGTGGAAATGAGCTTTTAAGAGCAGAATTTAAGTTGAATAATTTATGTTGGGTTGTTACAGCGTGCCAGTTAATGCCACAAAAAATATAGCATTTAGTTTTTATTTTTTAAAAAGGGGTTACTCGTTGTCTAAGGAGCTTGGAAAGAAAAGTGTCTGGACTTCTTTAAGGTGCTTGAGAATCCTGGAAATAAGTTTGGAGAAATGAGGAACA